GTCTGCCTCCAAAGCAGGTGTGGTGTGTCAGGCTTCCCCTTCTTGGGTGTGGGATGAGAGGGTGACATCAGCCTCCTCCGCACCTGGACCCAGCCTCCCTGAACTGCACTGTTTTCTGGGAAGCCTCCAGAGCACTGGCCAGCACGAGGGCTCACCAGCAAGTGCCCCTTCCCTCTCCTGCCTTCTCAGCCCACCGGCGGGGGAGGGTGGGCCAGCAGGGAGTATTGCTGCATCCTGGGGATTCCTCAGGTCCAGAGAAGCAGAGGTCCTTTGGATGGTGAGTGCCTCTGTGAGACCTTCTTTTCTGAAGTCGGTGAGAGGGGGAGCCGTGTCCTTCTGCCTCAGTGGTGAGAGGCCTGAGGATAGAACGTGGAGAGGGGGGCAATTGGGGGCTTTGGGTGGTGTCATTTTCTTCTTGGAGGCAGGGGCGTGGGTCAGACTGGGGGCATGGTGCCTGAGCCACAGTGGGGACAGGTAGGGTGCAGTCTTGTGCTGTCAGCTGTGCTGGGCATCCAGGGGCCGCCTGCAGCCTGCCTGCCTCCTGCCTGGGGCTCCTCAGGGGGGGTCCTCGTGACGGGGGGGGGGGGTAGACACCTAACAGGGGTGGCTTATGTTTCATTTAGAGAAAGTTTAACAAAACAAAACAAAACACCAGATCTCCCTTCCTCTTCTGCTCCCAGGCTCTTAAAGGTGTGTGTCTGAGCATCTTCTTGGGCCCTTCAAAAGGAAAGGTCCTAGGTGACCTTGTCAGAGGGGGCTTCACAGGCCTGGTCTTTGATATGGTTTTCTGGAAGACTGATTTATTGTTATTGTTGATTGATGATTGACTGGATTGGTTCATGTTGAGAGATGGAAGAGGTCACAGCGGGGAAACAGGTACGGGAACTGGAGACCTGGTGTTGCAGGATGGGGTGGCCGTGGCCTCTGGCTGGAGGGTTTGGCTGCCCTCTGCCTGTTGCCTCCTTCTGTAGGCCTCCGCTTCTCCAGCTGACGCTGTCTTCCAGGGTGAGTTCTAGGACCAGAGTTCTCATCTTGGCTTTGGGGTGAGTCTTACTCCGTGAGCTGATGCTCAGTGGAGAGGAAGGAAGGGTTGGCTCTGCCCAGGGGCTTGTGGGTAGCTGATACTTGACCTGTCTCTGTGAGGGTCTGACTCACACACACAGTCATGGCTGGGAACGGGGCTTCTGGGGCCAGAATGCACTCAGATGCAGTGTGATGGCTCTTCTAGTCGCTGTCAAGTGGTGCCTGCTCGCAGTCCCCCCGGACTGCACCTCCTTTGCTCTCACTGCCCCGTTTCACTTCTCATCCCTCCCTATGGGGTCTCTACATTCATTTCCCATCCTCCTACCCAGGAGAGAGAGCCTTGTGATTCCAGGTCACCTGGTCACTGCCCAGCTTTTCTCATCATCCAGGGAATTTACAGTCTGACCTCTTGACCACATGTTCTTTCCCTTCTCCATGAGCTGCAATCTTTGACCTGGAATCTGTATTTTACTGTGTTGTTCTAACAGGAGGATAGATGGTCACAGTGTAGCAGGTCTAGATATAATGGTAAGGAATCTTTTAAAAATTTATTTTATTTTATTTATTTACTTTTATAGGGAGGGATAAATAGAGGGAGAGAAACATCAGTGTGTGGTTGCCTCATGTGCACCCCTCACTGGGGACTCGGCTGGCAACCCAGGCATGTGCCCTGCCTGGGAATTAAACCAGCGACCCCTTGGTTCCAAGGCCCGCGCTCAGCCCACTGAGCCACACCAGCCAGGGCTGATGGTAAGGAATCTTAACACTCAGCCCTTTGCCTCCACGGGCCTTTGAGGGGGGGTGAATGAACATCACGTTAAAAACTCTGCCCTGACTGCTGTGGCTTGGTTGGGTGTCGTTGGAGTCATTCCTCGGGTCAAAAGGTCACCAGTTTGATTCGGTTCCCAGTCAGGACACATACCTGGGTTGTGGGTTCGGTCCCGGGCCGGGGTGCGTACAGAAGGCAGCCGATCAGTGTTCCTCTCTCACATCGATGTTTCTCTCCCTCTCTTTTTCCCTCCCTTCCCCCTCTCTAAAAATAAATAAAATCTTAAAAAACAAAACAATCCCTGCTCTTTCGAGTCTTAATATAATATGTCCCCCATGGCTTATGCTGAGGCAAAGCTATGGCATTCAGAGCTGCGACTAACCCTTTGCCTGTGGTCCTGGCTGGTGTGAAATCCATGAGGGAGGCAGGAGAGCATGAACACAGGAGCCTGAGTTCAAGTCCAGGCTCTCTTTTGGCCTCAGTTTCTGCATCTGTAAAATGGGGATAATTATAGTATTGACCTCATAGAGTTTTTAGGAGAGATAAGTGTCTATAGCACTTAGAACATTTTAGTGGTTATGCTTGGTGTTAGTCCCAAGAGGAGCCGGGCTTGCGGGCTTGCATAGCTACATTTAATCAGAGAGTTTCTCTAAGTAGGAAAGATATTTTAGTTTCTGAGCTTGAATGTGCTTATGTTGCCATGTGGTCCCAAAAGAGTGACCCCCAGAAGGTATCCTTTAGAGGTGAGTCTCCCTGAGAGAGTGTGTGTTGGGGTGATGGGCGCTGTGGCCTGGCCAGCTGTGAAATCCATTTGGGACTTGGGCCTTTTCCATTTAGCATCCCTCTAGGGGCTGACTGACCCCAGGCCTGTTCTGGGAACCGTCTTAGGCCCCATAAGTCCTTGTTCCGTGGTTCCAGCTGGGACTGCCTGACAGGGAAGGGCGGGGCAGGGAGGAGCTGGGGTGGGGGTGGGGGCTGTGTGTGCAACATGCCATGTGTTTTGAAGGACAACGGGGTCCCACAGGGCTGGGGCAGAGTATGGGTCTTTGTCTTTCTTTGTGCTAAAATGACGTGGTATTACCCTGCCGGCTGGTTGTGTAGAAAGGCCTTGCTGGTTAATTTTGAAGGCTCTTTTGAAGGGGGAGGGAAAAGCAGCAGTGCTGCATTTCCCCAGGGGCTGTCCTCTGAGACGCTCAGTTCCACCCAGATGATCCTATTGATTAATTCTCCTTCGGTTGTGCCTGAAAGGAGGGAGACTGCCTGACTGGTCCCAGGGCTGCCACTGCGTGCTCATCTGCAAAGCGGGAGGCTCAGCAGAGCACCTTGGGTGCTGCCCCTCTTCCCCAGCTGAGACACACATGACAAAGCCCTGTGCTTGAGAGGTCCTTGCTGGACGTGCAGGGACGGTGAATGGGTCTCGATGCCCCTGACTTTTAGCTTGTAGAAGCGTCAGTGTTCACCACCATTGTTCATGGGCCAGATCACCCTTAAAACCCCAGCCCTTAGGTCACTCATGGTCTAGGATAGGGGGTCGAAAACTCCTCACAGTCTTATGCAGGGAGTGCTAGAGTAGGTGTAACCCTGGGGTGCTGAAAGATTATACAGAAGGTGCCCCAGGTTTGGTTCCTGGGGAGGGTTCTAGAGGGGTATGGCTTCTAATCTGAACCTGAGTGTTGGGTATAAGTGAGGCCAGTTGGGGGAGGGGCTGTGTGGTATGGATGGATGGGAGGAAATAATGTTCAGGCATAGAGAACATTTGCAAAACCCAGAGCTCGGGGGTATGGGCACAGCTGGGGGCTCTGGTTCCAGGTTGGGACAGAGGCACAGAAAACCGGTGGTGGCGGGGAGGGTGGCAAATTCATAGTGACTGGAGTGACAGTACCTTCTAGGTCCTTCTCATAGCTGTGGTCTGTGATTTGGACATTTCTGAGCCCGAGAACTAGGGGCTAAAGGCTTCAGGTCAGTGGAGGTGTGAAGGATGCTCTGGAACTTTTTTCCTGTGGAAACAGCATCAAATACACATTCTGGAAAGTGGTCTCGGTGAGCTCTGGTCCTCTGGGATGGAGGCAAAGTGTCTCTGTTTTCCTCAAAGGCCACAGGCCCTCCCCTGACCGCTGCTTCAGGCGGGCCTACCTGTGAGCTGCACCATGTGTTCAGGGGACAAAAGTCCACCTGAGGCTGTGTTTGCCTCACCTGGGAGCAGCTTCCTGCTTGCTGCGCTGCCCTGACTGAGCGGTGCTGAGCGGAGCCTAGGGAGACTCACCAGTGGCTCAGCCCTGGGGAATTTCCTGTGCCCTGGGAGCCAGGGTGAGTCAGGGACTTGTATCAGGTGCTGGGGGCGGGGCAGGGACGGGGGTAATGTGGGCCCAGCCTTTGTGCCATCTCCTCTGCCTTCTCTGTCAGCACCCTGAAATTTTCAGGTTCAGGTTGCAGCCACTGTCGCCGTAGAGATTTTGCAGTCTCGGGGACACTGTTGCCCTCTGGCTATATGTTGTCTTAGCTTCTAAGAGCCAGATCTTTGCCTGCCCTTGTCTGGGACCCCGTCACAGGCTCTGACAGGTGGGCACTCGGGAAGAACTTTTCGACAACTACGATTAGCATCACCATTTGCATTGTGTATGGAGCCCTTGCCCTGTGCCAGGCACCAGGGTCAGAGCCGGGAGGACACAGCGCTGGGGCAGATGTGGGGAGCTGAGGCTCCGAGAGGCTAGGTGCTGGGGATTCCTTCGGAAGGCACTGCCCCCAGGGCTCTGGCAGGGATGTCTGCTTCGCCTTTCAGGGGCCTCGGTGGCTGAGCCCTTCCTGTCCCCAGATGGGGCCCACCTTGCTGCCACCCTGGAACGATGGCGGCCGAGCTGTTGGGGTCAGGAGGGACTGTTAGGGGCGTCCTTGGAGATGCTCACAGGGTCTGAGGGAAGGGACTTCGTGGCAGTTCAGAGTTGTGGTTTTGAAAATTGTAGTAACATGGTTTTAAAAATAAGATAAAATGTGCACTTTAACCACTTTTAAGTGGCATTGAATCCTTTCACATTGTTGTGTTTCCATCACCAGAAATCCATCCGCAGAACTTTCCCTTATCTCCCGACCCTGAAACTCTGTGTCCATTAAACAACCACCTCCTCCATCCCCAACCCAGCCCTGGCAGCCACCTGTTTACTCTGTGTTTCTGTGAGGACTCAGAGCTTGACTCCTTGTCCGTCCTGCGCAGAATCTCCCCGGAGCTCCTGCGCCGGGCAGCGATGCCAGGATGCCCGTCTCTGCCTCCCTCCGCCCGGACGGCAGCCAGGAGCGGCCAGCGAGCCTGACCTCCACCACGTCTTCGTCGGGCTCCTCCCGGGACAGCCGAGGCACCATGGAGGAGCCCAGCGGCCCCGAGGCCTCAGCCAAGAACGGTGCAGGCTCCCCTCGTGGCCGGCACCCGCGCAACAACACCAACAACTCCAGCAGCTGGATGAACAAGAAGGGATCCCTGTCCCCATTCAGCGGCCGGGCAGCAGCGGCGCCTGCGCACAAGCTCAGCTACCTGGGCCGCGTGGTGCGGGAAATTGTGGAAACTGAACGCATGTACGTGCAGGACCTGCGCAGCATAGTGGAGGTAAGGCCCTTCTTGCTGCAGAGCTGCGGTGCGGAAGGGGAGCGCCTGCCACCTCCTCTCGGGCTGGCCTTGGCCTTGGTGGCCTGGTTCTCCCGCATAAACCTATCACCACCAGCCCGGAAGGACAGTTCTCCCTGGCACAGTTATCTCGGAAGGTCTGCTTCCTGTGACTAGCAGGGCAGCCTCCCGTCTCCCGCCCTGGGGAAGCTGCTGACTGCTCACACTGCCTTGTGACCCTGGCTCAGACAAGTTGCTCCTCCCGCAGAACTTCTGCAGGTCCTCAGGGAGTAGGCACCCTTGACAAGGTTAGAAGGGACTCCTGTGCTCAGTAGAGACTGAATGAGCTGAAGAAGCAGGCTTTAGACCCCGCCTGCCTGCTCTCAGATCCCTGCTCTCTGGTTTGGTAGCTGTTGGGTCTCAGGCACGGGGTTCCCCCTGCCCCCGGCAACACACACATAGCCTCAGGTTCCTCCTTTCAGAAATGAAGAGGCATCTACCTGGCAGGGCTGTGGAGGTGAAGCATTTCACACTGTTCAGGGCACACGGGGGAAGATGGCTGTGTGGCTGCCCCCAAGGAAGCCACCTACTGTGGAGAGGGTTGTATTGGTTTCCTGGGGCTGCTGTGACAAATTGCCACAAACTGTGGCTTAAGATGCAGGCATTTATTCTGTCCCAGTTTAGGAGGCCAGAAGTTTCAAAACCAGATGTTGGCAGGGCTGGCTGCTTCTGCAGGCCCTGAGGGAGAGTGCGTTCCAGGCCGCTCCCCCGGCTTCGGGTGGTCGCTGGCCATCCTTCCCGTTCTTTGGCCTGTAGGTGGCATCACCCCAGTCTCCGCCTGTCTTCACGTTGCCTTCCTCTGTCTCTCTGTGCCCTCTCTTCTAGGGACACTAGCCATTGGATTCAGGGCCCACCCTAAATCCAGTATGATATTGTCTTGAGATCTTAACTAGTTACATCTGCAGAGGTCACATTCTGAGGTTCCAGGTGGATATTAATTTTGGGGCAGGACTGCCCAACCCAGCCCAGTAGGTGATGTTTGAGAAATAGCTGTCCCATGAGGCGTGGCCGGGCAGCATTGTGCCGGGAGGGGCCGGCCCCTGATGCCTCTCTCCATGCAGGACTACCTGCTGAAGATCATTGACACACCTGGGCTGCTGAAGCCAGAGCAAGTCAGTGCCCTCTTTGGGAACATAGAAAGCATCTACGCACTGAACAGGTAGGGAGTGGGCCTGACATACACTGTGTTACACCTTCGGGGCCCATCTGGGGCCTGGGGGCCAATCTTGGATGTCCCCGATGTGGTGGGCTGTGCTGTATGGGCCCAGGGCCTGCTGTCCGAGGGTGGGGAAGGGTGGCCCAACCCTGTACAGGGTTCAGTTAGCTCCCCACAGGAGAGAGGACCTAGGGTCGAGGTGCTGCCTATCAGGCAGGGAGATCATCTGAGGCTGTGAGCTTGTTGGGTTTAGCCTGAGCCAGCGCCCCTCAGGGGCCTGCTGGACCGTTGCACACGATACTTTAACCCCTCTCCCTTCGTGACCCCTCCGTCCTTCTCATCTTTGCCTTCTACTTGCACATCTCTTCATTTCTTCTCCATCTTCCTCCTGACCTCACGGGAAGGCAGGGCTCCCTGGAAGTGATCTGACCCATTAGGAAAATGCACAGGTCAGATGAGACGTGATGGGTGGGGCTGAACAAAGCCTGGCGAGGGGCTGCTTCAGGGCAGAGGGGCCCTTTGAGGATCCACCGTGTGCTGCCTGGACCCACAGATGCCCCAGAGGAAGGGCGGTGGTCGGGAGGAGCAGAGCGTGAGGGGACAGTGTGGATAGCTTAGGAGGAACCTTACCCCAGGCCCTTTAAGATGAGCAAGGGACCTCCTGCTGTGCATGCTAGAGCAGTCTGGAAGGAGTCCTGGGCCAGATTATGAGGGGTTGGGAAGGGGGGAGCACCCTTTCTAGGGTTTTCTGTAGTGCCCCATCTAAGAAAAAGGGGTTCTGGAGTCACCCTGTCTTTCTCCTTTTACTGCTTCCTTTTGAACTGGGGACCTTGGTTCTTTTTCGAGCCCCCTTTCTCTTTTCTTTCTCCTTTAATCTCTGCTCTTATGTATTTGACTCCTTCTGCCTGCAGAGGAGCCGTGTCCTCTCCTGAGGTGGGTACTGGTGTCCCTTCTTCCTCTTGCTGAGCATGTGGGTCTCCCTTGCTCCCCATCTTTGCAGTGTTGCTGGATGCTTTCTGTGGTTGCTGCCCTGGGCAGGGCTCACTTTGAGGGTGGAAGCCCTGACTCTTTGGCATGACACCAGGGCTGGCTGTGTGTCTGGGCACCAGGAGGCTGGGGAGGGGCATGGTGGGTCGGTAGCCGTGGAGGCTGCAAGTGGTCTGGGGTCTGATGGCAGTTCTTCCTCACCCAGTCAGCTACTCAGAGACCTGGACAACTGCAATGGTGACCCTGTGGCTGTGGCCAGCTGCTTTGTGGAAAGGGTGAGAAGGAATGGGTCCTTGCCTCTTGTCCTGTTCTGCTGGAGGCTCAGTGGGACAGAAACTCCCACCTTCACGGGACACCTGACCCTTGGAGGGAGCCCCCTCTCCAGGGGCAGTGCCAGATGTCCGGTCTGGATTGGGGAGGGCGTTCTGGGGTGGAGCCAGGGGTTGCTGGGTGGGTGGCATGTCCCAGACAGATGAGTACAAAGGTGGATCTACAGACGCTCAGAGAAAGGGGTGCAGAGTTGCTCTGGGGACTTGAGGTATGTTTTTGGTACACCTGGGTTTACAGTCCAATGGGAGTCTCTCTGACATCACTATTTTTGGTTTCTCTTTAGAGCCAAGAGTTTGATATCTACACCCAGTATTGCAACAACTACCCCAAGTGAGTCATTGGGGTAGAGAGGGGAGGCTGATTCCTTTGGTGAGTCTGGAGCACCCCGCTTGCCCATCCAGGCCTCTCGAGGTGGTGACCATCCTTTCCCCACTCCAGCTCGGTGGCCGCCCTGATGGAGTGCATGCGGGACAAGCAGCAGGCCAAGTTCTTCCAGGACCAGCAGGAGCTGCTGCAGCACTCGCTGCCCTTGGGCTCCTACCTGCTGAAGCCAGTCCAGCGCATCCTCAAGTACCACCTGCTGCTCCAGGTAACCCAAGGGTCCCCTGAGTACCTGGGCGGCTGTGCAAGGGCAGGACCCTCGAGTCTGTGGGCTGCCTAAGTCCCTGTCTCCCACTCAGGAAATTGCCAAACATTTTGATGAAGAAGAGGAAGGCTTCGAGGTGGTGGAGGACGCCATTGACACCATGACCTGCGTGGCCTGGTACATCAACGACATGAAGAGGAGGCATGAGCACGCAGTCCGGCTCCAGGTGCTCTGGGCTGGTGGCCGCAGGGACACGCAAGGGTGGTCGGGTGGGCGTGGGCCTGGAGAGGGAGCGTGGTTGCCCTGCAGGGCTGAGCAGAGGGGCGGCATCCATGTGGGGCAGGCTTCCCCGGGGAGACCCAGCAGTGGCTGGATTTTCGGGAGCCTCCAGGAGCCCTCTGGGGTCCCCAGCAAGGTTATGAGAAGCCTGACCCTTGGGGTCGGGGCCTCTGTGCCGTAGGAGATTCAGTCGCTGCTCATCAACTGGAAGGGGCCGGACCTGACCATCTACGGGGAGCTCGTCCTGGAGGGCACATTCCGCCTGCACCGCGTGCGGAGCGAGAAGACCTTCTTCCTCTTCGACAAAGCGCTGCTCATCACCAAGAAGCGGGGCGATCACTTTGTCTACAAGGGGCACATCCCGGTAACCAGACTGCCGCCACCTCCTCTGCCCCCTCCCCTCCCCTCTTCGTCCTTGTCCTCACCATCCCCAAGTCAGTGCGGATGCAGCTCCATCCTTCTTCCATCATTCCCCCTGCCTCCGCAGGCGATTTTGAGGGGCTGGGCTCCAGGTCTGTTCCCCCTCCCCGCTCCTTGTGTTTGACCGCCCTCTCCCTCCCTCCCCACCAGTGCTCCTCCCTGATGCTGATTGAAAGCACCAGAGACTCCCTGTGCTTCACCGTCACTCACTACAAGCACAGCAAGCAGCAGTACAGCATCCAGGTGAGGGGCGGGCCGGCGGCTCGGGCTGGGGACAGACCTGCCTCCGCTCACTGGGCTGCGCCGAGCCTCAGGGTCTCCCTCTGGAAGGTTGGGCTCATTGTGGGCACCCCTCAGGCTTGTGCTGACTAGCTGCCGTAGCCTCGCAGAGGCCCAAGTAGAGGCTCTCTGTCCACCTCTGCCCTGCTCGGCAGAAGCACGGCCCACGTCGTGTGCCTTCAGGCCTGGGATGACCCCGGCTCCCTCTCCCTTGGGTCCTCCCAGGCCAAAACAGTGGAGGAGAAACGGAACTGGACTCACCACATCAAGAGGCTTATCCTGGAGAACCACCACACCACCATCCCCCAGAAGGTGCATTCCTGGGGCACCCCCACCCCCAGGTCCTAATGGGGTACAGGGAGAGGGTGTCCTTCAGAGCCAGCTGGAGGGTCCACCGGGGCCTCACCCTCTGGACATTGGCTCCATAGCAGGGGTCAGTTCAGTGGGGGCCCTGGGCCTCGGCAGAGCACCGCAGAGTGTCCTCACCCAGCCCGAGGGAGTCCGTGCGCTGGGGGAGGCACGGCACGTGGCAACGTCGTAATGGGTGGGTTTCTCCCCTTCCAGGCCAAGGAAGCCATCTTGGAAATGGATTCCTATTGTAAGTATCTGTAGCCTCCCTGCCTGCTCTGTCCCTGTTTGTGCACCTTTCTCCACCACGCTGCGTCCTGGGGAAGCTTTGCCTGGTGCTAAGATTCCAGGGAGCAGGGGGGCCTGGGTGACGACTCCTGTCGAGGCCTGGGGATCTACTGTGAGCCTAGGGGCACAGCACTGCTGACGGGAGGACTCTCCATGCCTGATGCTCCCAAATGCAGTTGGATGGAGGATGGAAGAGGAGGGAGCTTTGGAGGCTTCTGGCCCTGGGCGTTGGGGAGGGCAGCAGGGGTGTGGGTGGGTGCGGCCAGAGTCTAGGCCACAGCCGACAGGGTCCCAAAGGCCTGATTGTCTCTCTTGGGTGCAGATCCCAATCGGTACCGCTACAGCCCAGAGCGCCTGAAGAAGGCCTGGTCCTCCCAGGACGAGGTGTCCACCCACGAGGGGCGCCGCCAGGGCCGCCGGCAGTCTGGTAAGGGCTCTGTGGGCAGGGAGGCGTCTTCACGGGACAGCATTTGGGGCTGGCGCGCACCTCCAGGCATCCTGGGAGAGGGCGAGGCGGGCGTGTGTGGAGCGTCCTCTCCCTGTGCCGCCACCTTCTACCTGGCACATTTGGGCCTTTCTTGCCCATCAGGGTTGGGCAGCCCACCTTTTCCAAGGCCCCAGGAACACTCGTGCACTCGGGCCTTGGCACCCTGCTCAGCTCCCCGCGACTGAGACCTCTCTCCCTCGGCACTCAGAACACTGGCGGTCAGCCAGGAGTGACTCTCAGGCGTGTGCTGTGGAGCCGAGCAGAGGCAGGACACGGGGAAAACAAGTTACACTCCAAGTGGCATCAAACCCAGACGGGAAATATTGACTTTGGGTCTCAGGAAAAGTTCCACTTTCCTGTCCTGGGTTTTCCACGACTGGACTTGCTGCAGTGTACTCGGAGTAAATGCAGTTAGTTGTCTGTTGGAAAAGAGAAGACATTGCTTTTATCCTTAGCTCTTCTGGTGATGAGTGTTTTCTTTCTTCTTTTCCTGAGCATCCTTTTTTTTTTCTTAATTTTAAATTGTATTTTTTTACATTACCATTTATCCCCCTGAGTGTGCTTCCTACATCTGTTTTTACTCTGCCCTTCAGTCTGAGGCCCAGGGAAGAACTTGGCCTCAGCCAGGTACCTGCCAAATTTGTCCACGTGGTGGGAGTTAGGGTGCAGAGTGTCTTGGAGGTCCCCGGAGAGAAAGACTCGGGCATGACTGGGAGCAGTGTCCTGGCTTGGAGCTCCACGGTGCTTTGGGCTTTGACTGGCTGTGACCCACAGGCCCCTTGGACAGCTGTGGGGATCGATGCGCGCACTTTGGTCTTCTAAAAGGTGGGGCTGAGCAGTCTCTGGAAAGCTGTGGTTTTACTTTGGTATTGCTCCCAGTAGACCTAGAACCCGAGGCCAATTGTCACAGTTGCAAAATTTTATGGGGCCACATGTTAAAAGCCCCAAATTGGTGGTGTTAACTTCCTTCTGTAATCCTCTTGCTGTCCCTCTAGAATCCTCTCGTAACCTGCCATAGCTTTAAATCAGAAGCTGCTGGCACATGGATGTGCTCAGCAAGTGTGGGCGGTGGTGGAGGTGGTCTCGTAATACTGCCTGTCATATGTCAGCATCCAAACTAGAGCCACTGAGGCCCCTGGGAAATGAGCCATTTTAGAGCTTAAGTCTCCACATGGCTGAGATTTTAGCCTGGAAACTCTAAAAGAGTTCCGTTCACTTGTGTCTTGTTTTCGTGTTTTAGTTTTAACCGTTACGAGAGAGACATCTTTCTAACACATGCTTCATACTCCGGGGCCTTTAAGACAGGATGCTGACCGGAGGCGCGGTGGCATCTCTGTGGTGTGTGAACGGCTCAATTCTTCAGGGCCTCCCGGAGCGGGGAGCTGGAGGTCCCCGTACAGACAGCCTGCGTTTGCGGTGTTGTGTCCACCCTTCCGCTGATGAGTGTTTGTTCTCACCTGTCTTCTGTGCTTGCCTGTAGTGTCCCTTCTTTCCTCTTCCATCTGCCAGAAATCAGTCTATTGAACTTGGGGGGTGTGTGTGTAAGAGCAGGCCAGCAAGTGGCTGAGAGGGGGGCATGGGAGTCTGACAGGAGCTTTCTGCCTGCCCTCAGCCAGCTGCTCCGACTGCCTGCGAGCCTTTTTTGCCTCCCCCTTCCGGAGAGCTGAGATGGGCAGATAAAGGGCGTTTCTGGATAAGTGAGGTGCTGGTGTCATTATTTGTCACTTATTACACATTCTTGATGACAAGTTCTGAAATGAAAGACTCGAGTGTTTTATGAAAACAGCTGGATGTTTACAAAGTTGTGCAGATCGTGTGTGTGTGTATGTGTGTGTGTGTGTGTGTGTGTGGGTGCACACGTGTTTCAGGAGAGAAAAAGGTTTTCTACACCCTCCCCTGCCCAGGAGCAGCTAAGACACCTCAGTAGACTTTCCTTCCGGCTTCAGGTTTATAGTAGGCTTCCCACGTAATGCCAGCTGGGCAGGGGCAGTTTGAGCTGAGGCCAAGGCTCTAGAGACCGGTCGTTGACAGGTGTCCTCTCATCCCTCCCTGCCTGCCTGTCTCAGGTCTGTCCACAGAAAAGGCGGGGGTCCAAGGTGGTGACATCATCCGCCTAATGGATGTGTTTTGTGTCCTGTCCCTAGAGCCTGGTCGGCCCCTGTGTGGCTGGGCAGCACTGCCGAGCAGGCAGCAAGGCCTTGTGGTGCCAGACCTTAAGGGCCGTAGAAAGTCGGGTGCGAACCCTGCTTTCCAGTGGGGTGCCCTAAGAGAGCTTGGCCTGGGCTGTAGCTAATGTGCTGACGGGCTCATCGCAGGCAAGGTGGAGCTTGATGTGGTGCCATGGACCTCCAGAGTGGCGGCTAGTTGGTCTGAAGGGGGCAGTGTGGGGCTGTGGTTCCTTGCAGGAGCTGCCCTAACTCAGAGGATTGTGGGTAGTGCTGCCCCTGGGGACTGGCGGGAATAGCCATGGACCCAGGCCTGATTGGAGTGGCCCTGCCTCCCTGTGGGGTAGGTGTGAGGGCCGCCTCCTTCAGGCCCTAGGGCTGGGGTGGGGGCAAGCCCGAGTGGACTTTGAGCCCCGTGATGGGCTGGTGGCGCTGTGGGTGTGGGGGCAGGGCTGTTTCCAGGCCTGTGCTGACTGCCCATGCGCTTTCCTCCTCAGAGCCAACCAGACACCTACTCAGGCAGCTCAGTGAGAAAGGTGAGTGTGAAGGGTCGACAGCCAATCAGGTGGCTCTGGGCAGGGGCCAGAAGGTGATGTAGGTAACCACCTGGGTGGGGATGTTGAGGACAGTTTAGAGAAGACTGTGTCTCTATTCTTCCCAGAAAGTGGGCCTCTCCTTGCTGTCTAGAGAGGGGGCTTTGATCCCCAACCCCCGTGGCTTTCACCCTCTTCTCCGGTAACAGCAGGAGCAAGCAACACTCACAGACCTGCACTGCTTTGCCCCTGCCCTGGTTCCTGTTCTGTCAGTCATTCCTTTGAGGATTTTAGGACTAGGAGCCCCCAGAGAGGTCTTCCCCAGGGGACTCTAGGCCTGTGGCCTCTGGCCTCTATCCTGCATAGAGAGGCTCATTCTCTTGTTTACCCATCTCCCCTCTCCTCGCCCGCATACTGGGACTCTGCGGTGGCGGCAGCAGCCAGAGCAGTGGGAATGAAGGTAAGGTTTGTGGGCAGAGGGGCCTGGTTGGGTAGAGTAGGGTGGGACTGCCCAGGTCAGCCCCTGGCTCCTTTAGCTCTCATTGTCTTCATTCATTTGACAAATACCTATCAAGCACCCCCTGTGCACTGGACTCTGCCATGTGGGCCACAGAGGGTCAATATACCATGGCCCTTGCCGTGGGGACCCTCCTATCCCCTTCCCCTGTAATGGTACCCTGGTGGTGGCCTGCCCAGCCTGGATGCTCTCAGTTTTTCCTCTCCGGGGCAGGCAGGCCTCTCTGGTTCTTGAGTTCCTGACCAGGCCCCTGTCCTAACTTTCCCCAGTCCCTAGCTTGAAAACCAGTCCTACCCCTTACTTCCCCTCACCCCCTCTGGTCTTCACTGGGCTTAAGTGGAGACCAGGGGTTGGTATGTAGAGGTGCATTTCTGTATAAAGCCTCCTCACCCCCAACCACTGGAAGGAGGAGGGGGTGTTGCCCTGAGGCTGGTCACGAGGGGTCTTGTGCTCTGAACAGCATGCAGGCAGTGCTGGTGCTCTGCTGGACTTTGGGCAGCCGTCCCGTACTCGGGGCCTGCGGCCAGAGGCTGAAGGGGGTGCCCGGGAAGAGCAGGAGGAGGACGAGGAGGAGGAGGAAGTGGTGGTGGAGGACGAGGAGGAGGAACAGGCCTTTCAGGTCTCTCTGGAGGACCTGGCAGGGCATGAAGGCAGCAAGAAGGGGTCTGGGCCGGAGCCCCCAGGCTCAGAGGAAGAGGAGGAGGAGGAGGAGGAGAGCCTGGCAGTGGCGGAGCAGGTAGCCGACTTTGCCAGCTCCCTGCTGGCCGCCCTCCACTGCTGGCACTATCGGGCCAACGCTTTACTTTTCTCCCGGGGTGCTATGGTGAGGTGTTTCTTTGATCTCCCCTCCTCCTTGCATGTTCCCTGGCATGTTCAAGCCCATGCCCATCCTAGAGTCCCTTCCCCTGCCCTTTCCACCCTTCTGTTCTTGTTCCTGTACTTCTGCCATCAGCACTTCTTAACCCCTCACTCACTGTCACGCCCTGGTGAGCCCCTGGCATGCAGTGTTCCAGCACTGGGTGCGAACTAGCATACTACCCAACAAGCATGACTAACAGGGTGGGAGTGGTGGGCTAGGGGAAGAGGCGGCACATAGCAGGGCTGCAAGGGTTAGGAGGGTTGGGCTTTGCTGAGGCTGCATACCTGGCGGGGATTTGTTATCCCCAGGCCTGGCAGTTCAGGTTGGCTCTGGAGTGGCTCAGGTCCAAAGCTGGCTCTCAGCAAAGCCCAGCCCCCTTAGGGCGCTGCCTGTGTTGGGACGGATGCAGAAGGGACCAGCTCCCAGTTGTCCTGGGAGTTGATGACTGCCCTCTGCTTTCTGCAGGGGAAGGGGCGCGGGGAGTCTGAAGGCTCCGAGAGCCGCAGGAGGCCCAGCAGCCGGTCTGCCGACAGTGCTGAGAAGCACATGAGCCTCGAGTCCATTTCTTCCCTGCCTGAGGTGAGTAGCCAGCAGGCAGGCGGGCGACAGTGCAGAGGTATCTGGAGCCCAGATCTCCAGGTCTGCGGGTGGGGCTCTCAGGCTTGGGCTCTCCCGTTGGGTCTAAGGGGACAGGACTCTCTCATCCCTTCAGGAAGCCTGTCTGGTTTGTGGGCGCATGACTTGGTGAGCAGACAGCCCCTTTCTATGAATGAGAGGAAGGCGCCCCTTCCTTTGGGCAGATGTAGTCCCTTGCTAACGGGCATAGTTAGCAGAAGTGACCAGATTTTAGATCCCTCAGCCAGGCCTCCCTGTGTAGGGCGTAAGGCGTACGTCCTGCCTGTCGGGTGCTTGTTTATTCCGTCTGTTCTCTGCAACAGCTCTACCAGAGAGAAGGGGGCTCAGAACGGTTGGGTGATGTGCCTGGCATGGCTTCTGAGGGACAGAGCTGAGGCTGGACTTGGGCCTGTGACTCAGAAGCCCAAGGTCTTCTTCCCACTGCCCCATGCCGTCTGTGGGTTGCCTGGAAATGGAAGCCTTTGCTTTCCCAAAGTCATAAGGAAAATTCCTTCGTGAGGCCTAGACCCCGGAGTAGGCCTCACAGAGACAGAAACTGGACGACACTGGATACAGGTCTAGAGTGGTGCTGTCCAGTGATGGTGGAACACTAGCCACATGTGTGACGTTAACTTCTCTAGTAGCCACATTAAAAAATCACTTAATCCAGGACGTCCAACCTGTTACCATTTCAATATGTAATCCATATAAAAAACTATTCACAAGATGGTTTATGCTGCCTTTGTATGAAGTTTTTGCAATTGGTGCGTATTTTACCTTTACAGCTGATTTCAGTTTGGACTAGTCCCCTTCCAGGTGCTTGGAAGGCACGTGTGGCTGGCGGCTACTGTCGTTGGACGGTGCAGGCCGAGGTCATGGCTCGTGCTCTGCAGATTCTGGACGGTGTCAATGGGATCGAGTCTGATCCCTCAGAGTGCAGTGTTTGCGCTTATCTCCTCCCTGCAGACCTCTCTGGAAAGCTGCCTGTCCTAGCCAGTTTTGTGGTTCAAATGACTTACAGGGTGGTCAAGAGGGAGATCTAGAATTTGCTTCCTTCCTTGCCCATCTGCTGGGCACGTGCACAGGAGCCACATTCCTGTCTCACCCTCTGCAGGATTCCAGCAAGTGGTCCTGTTGCCTCGGGACCCTGAGCTGCGCAGGAGGCCCTGGCCTCTCAGATTGCTCAGGCCTGGGTTTGAACCCAGAACAACTCCCTCATGGGGAGCCTCTAAAACTGTAGGGAGCTGCTTCACCCCTGGGCAGGGAGTACTGGTGCTGTGGCTCTGAGTTTTGGTGTTCCCATCTGCCCATGTAGCTCCCAGATAGGCTGCCGGAGAGAGATGCCACCACCTTCTCCCACCCACATTCCTAGAATTTCCTTTGGGTTTGAGGGCTGTGGGCCCAGCACAGTGGCTGCAGGGTCACTAAGGGACAGCGTCATGTTCCTCCCTCTGAGGAGCTGTTGCCCCTTCTGTTGCAAACTGCAGCGCCCCCTCATCAGGCTTTGAGCAGGCAGGCCGTGCCATCCCCCTTGTCCCCAAGTCTCACGTGAGCTCCCTGTGCTCTCCCAGGCTGAGCCAGACCCAGAGCCCGGGACAGAGCCGGAGGTGTTTGCTGCTGTGGAAGGTCAAGCCGAGGAGATGCCCTCAGACACAGAGTCTCCAGAAGTCCTGGAAACACAGCTTGATGCCCATCAGGAGCTGCTGGGGCTGGACCACCAAAGTGACATGGTGGACTTTGTGGTAGCCAAGAGCACTAAAAACATGAAGGCCTTGAGCAGTGAGGAGGAGGAGGACGATGACGAGGAGGAAGAGGAGGAGGAGGAAGAGGAGGAAATGGGGACTGCCCAGGAGTCTGAGAGCCTCCTGCCGCCCTCTGTGCTGGACCAGGCCAGTGTCATTGCTGAGCGGTTCGTCAGCAGCTTCTCTCGGCGGAGCAGCCTGGCACTGGAGGACAGCAAGGCCACTGGCTTCGGGACCCCGAGGCTGCCCAGCCGGAGCAGCAGTGTGCTCAGCCTAGAGGGCAGCGAGAAGGGCCTGGCCCGGTGCGACAGCACCACAGACTCCCTCAGCTCTCAGCTCCCCCCAGCAGTGGACCTCAGTGTGGGCGTGGCCACGGAGAGTGGCCCTTCTGTCAATGGGACGGAGCCCCCAAGCCCAGGCTGCTCAGCAGAGACCAATAGGTCTTCTTCCTGCAAGAAGAAGGAATCCATGCTCTCCACACGAGACCGGATGTTGCTGGACAAAATCAAGAGCTACTACGAAAATGCAGAGCACCACGACGCAGGCTTTAGTGTCCGACGCAGGGAGAGCCTCTCCTATATCCCCAAAGGCCTGGTGAGAAACTCGGTCTTCAGGTTCAACAACCTTCCCAGGCAGGACCCGGAGCCAGTGGCCCCATTAGGGCACAAGAGACAGGTGGGCTCCAGGCCGGCTTCATGGGCCCTGTTTGACCTCCCAGGACCAGGCCAGGTGGGTGCAGGTTCTGGCGACCCAGCTCCTATCACAGATGCTGAGTTCCGCCCATCTTCAGAAATTGTGAAGATCTGGGAAGGTATGGAGTCTTCTGAGGGGAGTCCTCGGAAGGGGCCAGGCCAAGGTCAGGCCAATGGTTTTGACCTACACGAGCCACTTTTCATCCTGGAGGAGCATGAGCTGGGAGCTATCACTGAAGAGTCAGCCACTGCATCACCAGAGAGCGCCTCCCCCACCCAGCGGCCCAGCCCGGACCGCCTGGCTCGGGAGCTGAAGGAGCTGGTGAAGGAGCTGAGCAGTGGCTCCCAGGGAGAGCTGGTGGCCCCACTGCACCCCTGCATCGTGCAGCTCTCCCACGTGATGGACAGCCATGTGAGCGAGCGAGTCAAGAACAAGGTCTACCAGCTGGCTCGCCAGTACAGCCTTCGGATCAAGAGCAAGGCGGGGACAGCCAGGCCACCACTGCCATGGGAAAATGCAGCTTCCACTGTTCCCCAACTGCAGGAGGAGGCTGGATCGCCATCGGGTGGCAAAGGTACAACGGGGGTAGGGATTGGGCCCCTCCCACAGTCTGGGATGGAAGAGCCCTTTAAGAGTCAGTTGGCTTTTGGGGAAAAGTGATCCCTAAAGGACCTCTACCAAAGAGGGCTGGACCCCACACTGAGGGCCAAGGGCCAGAGTGAGCCCTGGCAGCTGGTCTAATGCCCCGAGGCCACCCGTGGGGCCCTGGTTGAGCACTCTGACTGCCCTCCCCCCATCCTTCCTGCGGAAGAGACCTTTGGAGGAAATGTAGCCGTGCCCTCTTCTCTAGGAGAGCAGAAGCTCTTCTTGTCTTTCGTCCTTTGACTCTTGACCCCTTGTCCACTGCCATTCCTTTATTCTCCCTGTTTCCCTTTGATAAAGGGACCATGGATGGTAAATGAGGGTTCTCTTCCATCATCACACCCAAAACCCCACCGACCAGCCTTCCCCAGAAGTTCAGAGCCCTCACTTCCGCTCTCCCTTCCTGCCCTGTGACTCAGGCCGCTCTCTCCCCTCACAGGTAAGAGAAAGCCGGTGCTGTCCCTCTTCAACCACGAGGAGGTGCTGGCCCAGGAGCACAGCCTGCCCAAGCCCTGCTCGGCCGGGGAGACGTCACCACGGCGTTTCTCCATCCCTTCTGCTGGCAACTCGAGGACCACTTCACCTGGGGCCTGGTCTGCCACTCGAAGCCCTCTCAGCCCCTTGGACACCGAGACCTTCAACTGGCCCGACGTCCGAGAGCTCTGTTCCAAGTATGCCTCTAACGACGAGGCGGTCCAGGTCGAGGGAAGCCGGTCCCGAGGCCCACCCGTCAGCCGGAGCCGCTCAGTGCCAGACGGCATGGTGGAGCCGCCCCTGTCGGGCAGGGTGGGCCGCTGCTGCAGCCTGAGCGCCAAGAGGGGCCAGGTGGGCCCAGAGGCCACCCAGCCCCGGTCTCCTGGGGCGTTGCCCCAGAGTGGGCCGGACGGAAAGGAGGCCCTGTACATCACTGCAGACCTCACCCTGGAGAACAACCGGCGGGTGATTGTCATGGAGAAGGGGCCCCTGCCTGGCCCCGCGGTGGGGCTGGAGGAGAGCAGAGGCCCTGGACAGAGATCAGCAGCAGCCATAGTGGGGCAGGGCCGGGATTTGCAGGAGGCAGCCGCACATCAGCCGAAGGAAAAGGGTCCCAGGGACCTAGTGGACCCAAACCAGCAAGGCATCGTGAGAAACCTGAGGGAAAAATTCCAGGCCTTGAACTCTGTAGGTTGACTCTTGAGTCTTGGGGGAGGGAGGAGCTTGGGGAATGAGGAGGAGCCTTGACCTATGTCCACAGGTTTGGGCTCACCCTCCTTACAGGAGCCTCACCCAGGGCCCTCGGAAGGCGGTGCCCGGGAACAGTGCTCTGGTGTACTCAGCAAGTGCCTTGTCCTGCTGTAACCACGCTGGTGCCCTCCCCCCACAAGCTCACGGTGACCTTCCACAGGTCCAGATGGGCCCCTCTTCCCTCTGAGGCCGGTGTGGCCACTTCCCTTATATCCAGTTCTCTGGTGAGAAGCCACATATTTAAACTCACCTCTTCCCAGGGAGAGCAAGCCCTGTGTCAGCCGGCCACTGCCAGACTGAGGAGCCCGCCAGGGGAGATGCGGGAAGGTGGCCCGGGTGGGGGGGCGGGGCTGTGCCTTTTCTTAGGGTCCAGGCAGGAACGAGGTCCATAATTTATTGTTTGTGTGCATGTGTGTGTGTGTTTTCCCCGTTGATTCCCGTCCTGTGAAGAATGTAACGGACTCAGTTCAGGTACTTTTGTGGATTGTTTCGCTGACCCTGTGGTTGTCGCTAATGTATACACATTTCATTATTTGCCAATGGTGCAATAACCACTGCTGACCAACCGACCTGTGTGTGGCCTCCTTATTGGGCCTGGCTGGGGTGGGGGGAGTTGATCGTGGTGGGGGTGGGAGGCGGGATGTGGGGGTGGGAGCTTTGACGTCCCCTCCTGCTGTACGTGCGTATGAGGCACCGGGGTGCTCGTGGGGGAGCTGGGGCAGCAGGATGTGTGGGAGGGGACTTGTTCTCGGCTGCTCTGCTCCCATGGGCTTCTCTGTTGGCCCCCAGCCCGGCATCCTGTCTTGGGGGCAGGGGCATCGTGCCAGCCTTTAGCTCTCTTCCTCAAGGGCCAAAGTTGGACTAGAGAAAGTAGAGATGGGGGAGTGGAGGGAACATTTTTCTAATAGGCAGAGGTTTCTAATGTCTGGTGCTTTTTGCTCCTTTCTCCCTCAGTGAGTCCCAGGAGATCCTGGGAGGCGAGGGTTCTAAACCCGGAGCCCAGAAATGTCTCCAGGTGGCCTGAGGCATTGGGTGAGAACTGCAAGTACATTTTTTCCTGGGATGCGTCCTCAGTGTCCATCCCATTCTCAAAGTGTCTTTGATTCAGAAGGGCTAAGATTGCCTCCCTATGTCTGGTTGCGTTTTCTGCCCTTTCTGCACGGGGTACCAGCCTTGTTTGGCCATTTCTTCTGTCTGGGGCCTGGGAGGAGCTGGGCTGCGGGGCTCAGGTGGTCCTCAGGTGTCCCCACAGGTCTGCCGGTTCAGGGCCTCAGGGAGTGCAGGGCAGGGGCAGGGCTGGTGGGGCCTCTGCTGGGCAGCAGCGGGCAGGGCAGAGACGGGCCGTGTTCTGCCAGCTGCCCTGAGTGTTCCATGGCTACTTCTGAGGAGAGAGCTGGCTTTTTTACCAGGCAAGTCTTGGGTGGTGACGCTGAGGGCCCATGGGTGTAATGGAGTGCAAGTCAGAAGACCCAGGCTTTGGTTCTGGCGCTGCCGTGTTCTGGCTGGGTCACCTAAACGCTTGCTTTTCCCTCGTCTGTAAATTGAAGGAGACGGATGGCTCGTTCAAACTCCCTGACTCAGTCTTCAGTGGGTGGAGCCTGGGAAGTTGTAGTGAATACTTTCCCCAGGTGATTCTGACACAGCCATCTAGGTATGTCTGGGAACCTCGAACCCGCTCAGTGATTCTCACCGGCTGCCCGTCAGAAGCACCAGTGGAGCCTTTCGGAACACGGCTGTGTCTGCACTCCACCCGCCCAGACCAAACGAACACTCCCCTTCGGAGGTGCACCCCAGGCGGGGCCTCTGGTGGTGCCCACGTCCAGCCGGGTCTCTGTCCCGAGCCCTGTGGGGAAAGGCCTGCGGCAGGCCCTCCGGATGGTGGGGTGCACGGCCCGGTGAGCTTCAGTCCAGGTCTCAGGACCCGGGTGCTGGCGCGGTTGTCCCAAAAGCCTCAGGGACAAGCCAGAGAGTCTGGGGTACAGCCCCTCCTTGCTTACTCACCTAGCCCTCTTGGCCCAGGTCAAAGGGAAACAAGGCTTGCCAAATAAGAAATGTAGAGAAATGAGAAATGTAGAGTGTTATTATTGATTTATTAGAAAAACTAGTAAATGGGTTTCCTCTGTTTGGTGGAAGCACATGTGAGCAGTTGGAGGGCAAGGCCCAGATGGCGTGGTCTGTGCCCCACGGGGCTGCGGTCCTGTCGCTGCCGCCTCCACGGTGACCTCCCTGAGCTTGCTTGTCCAAGGGACCAAGCCTTGTGGTCCTTGGCTCTCTGTCTCCTCCCACAGCGGGGAGGAGGGGCATCCAGGACCATCCTCGGGGACCCCGCTCGCCCTCCGACGGGCAGGGAGTGGTGTGGGTGGGAGCCGAGCCTTCTGCAGGCCTCCTGTGGTGGGTGCTGGTGGGGGGAGGGGGAGGTAAGCCCAAGAACTGTCCACACCCCCCTCAGCCAGAGCCTGGGGAGGCCAGGGGACGGAGGGAAGGAGGACCACCTGGCCACGCCCCGAAGGAGCTCCTTCTAAACTGCCAGTTGTGCTGGTGTGGACTGGAGCTATGTTGACCTAGGCTGGGAGTACTGTTAAAAGATTGCAGAGTAGAAAATGTAAGGGGGACCAAAAACAAACACCCCCCCCCCCCATAGAACTGTGCCAGGGTGCCAGGCACTGAGCCTGCACATGGCACAGTCTCCCAAACCGGGGTGCCTGCAGTTTCTGTCCCATTGGTTGAGGGTCTCGGGCCTGTGAGATGTGGGAGGGATGTGCAGGAGCTGGCACTAGGTGGCGGGTCACATGCAGCTGGCCGCCCTTGGCAGTCGGGGGCACCCGGGTGGGGAAGTCCTAGCGCTTCCTTTGGGGCCCTTTCACTCTTGGGACTGTGGAGTTGCTTGTTGGAGGTGCCTCATTCAGGTGCTGCTTTGGCCCACGGGGAGGTCAAAAGGTGGCCCCTTGTCCCCCGGCTCCCTTGAGACTGGCCCAGGGCAGCAGTGGAGGAAGACTCTTGCCACCACCTGCTCTTCAGCAAGGAACGTGCTACCTGCTCTGGAGCAGGACGTGCCCTCGGGTGTACCAGAGGCCTTCTTTACTGCCACCTGAGGGTAGTCCCCTCACTGCCTCCTGCCTTGGTTTCTCCAGGTGTAGAGAGAGGCTGGTGAATGGTCTAGACTACATTCCCTGCAGGTACAATGAGGGCTGTAGGGGTAAGTGCACAGAGGCCAAGCGAAGACCCTGGCTACATGGGGTGGGGGGCCACCTGACCTGGGGATGTCGGCATCCACCAGACAACGTCACCTCCTGTGGTTCTCGTCTGCCGAAGTCAACTTCACCTTGACATAGTGGTCTTGATCCCCAGGGTGTGCCTGCGCTAAGTGCTCCTGGGAAGGCCTAGGAACCCTGGATGCCTACCCCTGTGGTTTCTACCTGAGCCTCACCCGAGTTCCGGAGGAATCATCTCAGTGTGTCTGAGGCTCCTTCCCATGGGGAAGGTGATGGAAACAGCAGTCCCCAGGGACCTTTCTGGTCTCCCCAGGGAAACACCTGCTGCCACCAACTTGACCCTCTTTTGGACCTTAACCCCAGTTAAGATGCTGGGCTGGAGCTGTATTGCTTTCAGAGGGTGGGGGGTGGAAATCCTTGTGGAACGAGTGCCCCCCTCCCTCTTGCAGTCCGACTGTAGCAGCCTGGGGAAGGCTTTCCCCACGCGTCTAGGTTGCAGGGCCCCTTTGGCTGTGCTTGGGTTGTCAGGGTAAGATATTTGGTGACTTCTGCACCCCTGTGCAGAACCTTCAGGAGAAGCTGAGCAAGGGGTGCTACACCTTCATGGCCCTGGCGCCAGCATTTGTCCCAGCTGTCCATGGATTGTTGGACAGGTGGTGACATCCAGGTATGGCCATGGTGCCACCCCAGGGTGATATAGGTCATGCATGAACTTGGCCGTCTGTCCAGTCAGTACCCTCGGCTGGTACCTGCTGCAGACTACTCACTGGGCATTTGGCTTTGCTTTACTCCAGGCGCTGGGCTGTCCATCTGGTATCTGGGGACCGTACTGCCTCTAAGGGGTCCTGGGTCTGAGTCAGATATTGCTGGTTCAGCTGCTACTGGGTGTTGGGGGGCGTCCCAGAGTGGAGAGGCAGCGCCTTAGGCAGTGTCGGGACTTGTCTACCTCCTTCAGGTCTGAGTTGTAGCCCTAAGCTCTAACTGAAGTTTTAAAAAAGACCGGCTGGAGAGCTTCCTGGTCCTTCTACTACCCATGGTTGGCAGCAAAGGATGCTGGAGGCAGTGGGAGGCCCCTTGCACTTAGGACCCCACGGACCTTGGAGGGTGTCCCCCCGCCTGCTTTTTTGGTGGGAGGAGGGGGGGGAGGGATGTGGTGGCCCCTGAGGTGAGAGACCTGGTTCCGAGGAAGCCCAGTGGGGAGGAGGCCCATAGAGTCCCCGCAGTCCCCAGCAGCCCTTTTCCCAGGCCTCGGGCCCTGTGGGCCTACCTGAGGGCTCCGTCCTTGTGCCCCAGGGGTGGGTCAGGTATTTCCAGTGTCTTCTTCCCTTCCCCTGGTTTTGACTAAGTCAGGGGTGACCCCAAGTAGCTTGCTTTGGGAGTGGGCAGCATCTGACGAACCCATCAGCCTTCTCCAGCATTTATGGGGCAAGGGGACCTGATGCATCCTCAGCCCAAGAATGGGGTGGGGAGGAGGGTGTGAGCCTGGGAAAACCGTACTCTGCCCACAGGCCCAGAGGCCCAGTGGAGCCGGGAACCTCTGTCCCTGGAGCTGCTCTGCAGATGGTGGGGGAGCAGGCATCGGGCCAGGCAGGTGAAGGCAGGTATTGCAGTGCAGCATGGGCCCTGGAGCCCCGCCCGGCGACTCAGAGCAGGCAGGCGGCGGGCAGCGGGCAGCAGGCAACCAGGCAGCAGGAGGGCCGTGGTCAAGGCCGAGGGCGCCCGCAGCCTGTCCTGGGCAGTCGAGGGAGGCACAGTGGCACTGCCCGGCCCCACCTGTGGGACACCGCAAGAGGCTACTTCTTTTTGGGGAAGAAGCTGAATCTCTTTTCCTTTTCTTTCTTGCCAACGCTGGTGTCAGGGCCGGTGATGGAGGGCAAGGGCAGGCTCTGGGCCTTGGTGCGGATACTCTGGGACTCGTTGATGGCGGTGCTCACACCCTGCAGCCAGGACAGCATCTCCTCCTGCGGGGCGGGAGGGTCAGGGCCTCACACTTCTCTGGGGAGGCCCCCACAAAGGCTGGGAGGGGAGCCCCAGGACTGCCCGCTCTAAGGGAGCCTTGAGGACAAGTGGCTTGAGCCTCCTCCACCTGCCCCTTTGTTAGTGGGGGTCTGGGCCGGGCTGCCTGGCACTTACCTCGTCCTTGCCATGGAAGAGCCACTCACTGCCATTGCTCAACCTGGGGGGGACAGAAGGGTTCCTGTCCTGGAGCTGCCTCTGGAGCCCTCTGCCTGGGCAGAGGGCTGGCTCGATCCCACCGCCCCTCAGACACATAGCACCTTCTGAGAGAGGTAAGGACCTGGACCATTGGCCTTTTTGCTTTAAACAACCCCTGAGGGCCAGCGCAGGCACGCAGTGGA